TAGAGGACGAGAAAGATGTGAATTGAAATGGCCTCCAACCTAATAGCGATGGCCTCCAACCTACTAGCGATAGATAGAGGACGAGAAAGATGTGCATTGAAATGGCCTCCAACCTAAGAGCAATGGTCTCCAACCTAATAGCGCTGGCCTCCAACCTACTAGCGATAGATAGAGGACGAGAAAGATGTGAATTGAAGTGGTCTCCAACCTAATAGCGCTGGCCGCCAACCTACTAGCGATAGATAGAGGACGAGAAAGATGTGAATTGAAATGGCCTCCAACCTAATAGCAATGGCCTCGAACCTACTCGCGATAGAGGATGAGAAAGATGCGAATCAAATTGAATTCGTTATTAGTAGCATCAAATCCTTATTTTCACCTGAGCTGGCTGGCACTGTGAGCTGGCACCCCACTAGGGCTGCAGCCGCGGCTGCTGCAGCAGCGGCTGCAATGACAGGCAAGGGGAGATTGGGAAGTCGGGAAAGCAATGGTTTTTTGGGCGACGCCGGCAGCGCCAATCAAAGTTCCCTTGTCTTTTTGCGGGGTTTTGCTGCCGAAGTCCGTAGTTGCAACCCATTGCTCGAGAAGGTGCCAAGCCACTCACGGTGTTCATCACCGACTTCTCGATGCTCAAAGCATCTGAACTTCTATTTGCTACCCGATAGGGCAAACTCACTTTGCAGCCAGACTTTCAGTGCAAGGCTTGCTCCGTAGAATAGTCTAGGTATAAGTCGATGCTGCACTAGGTATAGTCGATGCAGTAGACAACACCCAGGTAAACCAAGAGACAGACAGGAAAAGAACAGGAAGAGACTGATGGTCGTTCGACCCATCGACCGCTCGACCCTTGTCCGACCGGCTTCCTCGCCGGGCTTCCTCGCCGGCCATGGACCCGCCAAGACAGGCCCGTGCTTCCAGTTTGGGTGCTTCGGAGAGAAGGAACGAGGCCACGAAGAGGAAGAGCAAGACCCAGCTGGAGAGACTGGACGACAAACGAGCGTTCGTAGCATTGATCGATTGCCAAGAGAGGCACATGGCGACCATCTTGACCGAGCTCGATCAGGGAGCCAAGGAGTCCCATTGGGTGTGGTATATCTTCCCCACTGAGAAGGCTGGAGCGTGTGATGAAGCCGAGACTCGCATCACCGAGGAGAACGCCATTGAACTGTGCCGAAATGAATCCACGGCGATGGACTGGCAGAAGTGTTTGGAGAAGATCTGTGACTTATTGGAAGCTCGCGGCCAACGACCCGCCGATGGTTATGTTTTGCCACTGGCTGATCACGGGCGGGTGTACAGGTTCGTAGAGTTTTGGGCCAGCTATGCCCAGACTCCGGACTGGCTACTGCAGGTCTGTGAGCGCTTGAAACCCTTCTTTGCGTCAAGGTGATTCGGTTCGAGGTCAGGACCGAAGCAGATGCGGCAGACGCAGCAGATGGCAGTGGACAGAATGGCAAAGACAAGAAAGGACAGAACGGCAACGAGCCAAGGTTGCGCTGGTATGATGAGCTGAACACTTCCTTGCGAGATCATGAGTTGCGTACATTTGAGTCAAAGCCATTCCCGTGAATTCCTTGTGAATTCCATCGATTGCACCGCAGTGATTCCATCGTTCTCACGGAGGGTCGACGGCGTGTCGAGAGCGGAGAGCCGTTACAGCTGGAGCGCGAACACGAACAGCGCGCTCCGCCAGCCAAGAAAAGGGAGGGGATTGCGGCGTGGCCGGAGGTCCAGTCGCAGTGTGTGGCAGGTGCTGCTGCTGGGGCTCGTTCAGCTATGTCTGCAGCTGGCAACCGGGTGAGCATTGGAGGCGCGGCTATTGAGTCTGCACTCCTTGTTTCTTGGTGAGACCTTCTCAACAGCTATGGTTCCTGCACAATCAAAGTAGATGAGAATCACTATCCGGGTAGTCTTTGTGTGCAACTGTAGTCTTTCATCGCGATAACTCAATAACATAGGCAAGTGCAATCTGGACATGTCTGATTCTTCCTTTGGATTTGTCTCCCTCGTCTGGTTGTGGCCCCGTTGTGGCCCCGATAGGGATCCCTCCGGATGTCTCGCGATCGCGAATCCGATCGGCGACGCTAGGGGCTGCTTTGGCGACCTTGGTCAGTCCGGAGGCTGCTCCAGGCGGCGCAAAACGGAGAGAAACGACGCGTTTCGCAAGCAGAAATGCTTTTGAAGTGTCTTCTATAGCGCTCTCGCGCTGGCCCGCGCGAGCCAGCTGGCTCGGTTCCGCGAGAATGTGTCTGAGGGCAAGCGGTGATCGATTCAGTTCACTTTTTTTGCGAGTGCCAACAAAAACCCCCTCCCCCACACGGAACCCAAAATCATGCCAACAAAAAATCCCTAACAGAAAAAGAGACCGACCGACTGACTGATTTCTCCGAGCCGAACGCTCTGGGCTCGCCCGGCTCCCCCGGACGTGCCGCGCCGTCGACCGCGGGGGCCGCAGATCGCGCCTCTCGGAGCTCGGTGTTCAGCGGGCGTTTCATGCCGCTGTCCCTGTGGGCGCAAGCGGAGAGCTGGGGCCCTAGACGCGGTATAATGATGGACTTGGAGAGGGTTTTTGATGAAAAGGACATTTTTTCAAGACACTTGGTCATCCACTTCTTGTTTTCTTGGTACTCACTTTTCTATCGTGTGTTTGTTGTTGTTGCTGTTGTTGTTGTTGTTTCTTTCTTTTCTCCGTCCCTCTTGAGGCACCACACCACCGCCCTCCGGACCGGGGTCTCCCGAGCAGAAACAGGACCGGTCCGATCCGAAGCGGAGGCGATCGTCAGCGGAGGCGTTTTGGTTCGCTGTTCTGAGCGTTCACTCGGGTGCGAAGCACCACAGACAGGATGTGAAGCTGTCAGAAGTGCTGGACGGAGATTCTCCTGTGCAAGAAGGCACAGGATGCCAGCGTTTTTCTTTTTTGTTTTCACTTTTTGTGTAGTTTGCTTTGGTAGATGATTCTTGTGCAACCTGACAAGGTGAAAAGAAAGCGGAGAGGCTGGAGATTCTAGATCAGATTCAGTACAATAACTAGTTCGGTACGGTCAAAAAACTCTGAACATAGCTTCAGGTTGCAAAAGATGCCATCGAAGGAAAGTGCTGGTGCCGCTGAGGCTCATACTTGGTCAAACGATGAACATCTCAACGAGAACCAGGAAAAAAAGAAAAGGGCAAGAGCAGGACCATCCTGTGTATCTAATGCAATGGCCTCCAACCTAATAGCGATGGCCTCCAACCTGATAGCTTCGAAGTATTCAGTGGAGTCTCAGATCTTACAGCGGTTTGAGAGTATATAGATGGCACAACCCGAAAACACGTCTTTTGGATGGGGGTCCATCTAAACCACCGTCTACTCTGGGGATTGCGCCATCTACTCTGAAAACTTTTGTATTTTTTTTTCACATCCTCACACCCTGTCACCGCCGAGCCGCACGAGGCAGACGCCGCCCACTGCGGCCACGCGACGTTGCCCACGCCGCCGATCGCTCCAGCGGAGAGGAAGGGAGCTACGAGAGGATCCTCTGCAGGGGGCCCCGGGTTTGGCCGAAAAGGATGTGAAAGCTGAAATACAGTGGTTTCAGAGTAGATGGCACAGCCCCATGATGTCCTATTTTGATGGGGGTCCATATCAACCACCTCTTGGGGTCTGTGCCATCTACTCTCAAATCCACTATATATCATTATACAACCGTGTTTTCATCATAGGTCCTAGCCCTGAAATATATCACCCTTAAATAAACAGGTTGACTTGGTGTTAGTGTTTGTAGTCTAAAATCCTTAGTAAAATAATGGCTGTTCGGAAATTCTTTCTTTTTGGTGGGATCTTGAAACGTGTTGAGGAACACTTAGTTGAAGATCCATGGTGAGAGGTCATGGTGACATCGTGACAATACAATCAAGCCAACGTGGAGGATACATCGATTTGAGTTGAAGCACCACCAGTCACCTTCTTGACTTCAGTCTGCTCCTAATTAGATTTTTTGAGGCACCTCCGGACCCATGCAGATCCAAATCTGATGGAGAAGAGGAACGTGCCGTGCTTCCCCGCCCGATGCTACTCGGCTTCGACGATGTCGAAGCGATGCATCCGCACCCCGATGGCAGACGACTCGACTGTTCATGAATGGCCTCCAACCTACTAGCGACCTCCATCCCAGCGGTACTACTAGCGTCCTAGTAGTAATGGCCTCCTTATGGCGATGGCCTCCACCAATCAACAGCGACACGAAGCCTAAGAAAGGCGACACGAAGCGTTTGTCGCGGCCGTTCCCGAGTTCTGGTTGAACAGTGGGACATGTCAGCCTAAGATCGTTGGTACAACTCCCATTCTCGGATTGTCAGCTAAGTTTCAAAAAAGCGTTCCAAGAAGGTTCAAGAAGGTCAAACTTCTGCTCATTTTTTGGATGTGCAGATGAGACAACATCATTTGCTGAGGTCAGCTGACTCGATGGCTGAGAAGGATCGGAAAGCTGTCTCCAGTGCGGATCCCATGCCTGAGAGTGGATTTTAGATGTTTTATCACGAGCCGTTGGACATCCTGAAGCTCTCCCTCTTTATGGCACGGCTTGCTGTTCAGACTTCTTCTTCTATCTGAGGAGTACACTCATGTAAGAGGCTACTCACCAATTGGCGGACAGTCAACAAAAGCTAGTTTGTTTGGACACAAGAGACTTCATGCGTTGGGTGGTTGAAAATGCAAGGGTTTTTTAGGAGAACATGGATACGCTTTTTCGTGCGAAGGCATGAAGCTGGTGGTGACACCCACGAAGGCCTGCGCCAGCACCAGTCCATATTCTCAAGCAACCGCAGGGCAAGCCAAACGAAAGAGTAGAGAAGAAACAAGAAGAATGGCCTCCAACCTAATCGCAATGGCCTCCAACCTACTAGCGATGGAGAAGAAAGAAGAGTAGAGAGCTAATCTGAAGAAATCTCAAACTCCAGAACTTCCTTGCTCCTAGTAGCGATGCCCGGGTTCCTAGTAGCTTCTTGCTACTAGTAGTAGCGTCCGACCGCTCCGTTCGTAGCGTCCTTCAGAGATGTTTCTCCAGTGATCCGAGCCGAGCCTGAGAAGCAACCGTCTAGGAAGCGGATGCGAGTCCTCCCTTCACAGCGAGCCTGGCGTCCACATCTTCCCCAGTGAGGGGCCGTCAAGGTGTGGATAGGTTGCGTTTCAGAAAGCCGAAGCAACCTTCTTTTTCAATCTAAAAGCCAGCATCCTCGCTATATAGTAGGGTGGAGGCAGGGCGCTAGTAGGTTGGAGATATCGATTCATGTCCCGTTGGTCTACGTCGTTGCGGTCGTTGCGCGCCTCACATGACACGGAGGTAGCAAGCACATGACTTCGACCTCGCGCGGACATCTGTCCCCCAGCCCCGCAGGTCCCGTGGGGATCCTCAGTGCGTCGCACGGTGTCGGCACGGCCGGGGTCCGATTTTTCCACTGAGGCGACGCCTCAGGATTCCAAGGTGGAGCGAGAGGCCCGAGAGGCCTGCTATTGAATGCTTGATCTCGTGGGCGGCATGGGTTCTTTGGGTGCTTGCTGTTTTGATTGCATTCGTTGGCTGCTTAGGTTGCTTACTTGGGTTGCCTTTCATATCCTTTTCTCATCTTTTCTCATGATCATATGACCCATCAAAGCCATTTGGGTTGCCGTCCAGGAGCTTCAAATTTCAAGGTTGGCGCCTGAGTTGCCACCGGTAGGTCCTGAGATCCATCAACACCGTCCTGATGACCGGTCCGAGGTCCAATTCGCGGCCACCGGCCGAGTCTCCGAAGGCCGACCGGAGTTGGACCCCCAAAGGTCCAGGCTGAAAGCGTTTGGTTGGCTGAGAGGTCTTCGTTGATGTTTGGTTTCTTTGGCTCATTCAATTTGTTGTTTATATATATATATATGTTGAGTTCCAAGTTGTCTCGTATTTAACTCCGCTGCTGGAACATTGGTGGACATTGGTGCATTTCTATGTCACCGAAGATGCTTGCCTCCAGGATGGTGCAGAGCGTGAAGAAGTTTTGCCTGATGTACTGTTTTCTGCACCACCCGCTGAGCCAGATGCGCATCACTTAGCCGGGTCTGAGGATCATCTTGACATTAGAAGGAAGCACCCAGCTGTCATGTCTTTCTTTTGCTCGATTTTTGCAAGAACATAGCTGAAATTCTACACCTTTTTCTCTAGAGTAGTTCATCCATGAAGCACGAACCTTGATGGGACCGTTCTAGGTTGCCAACCTGCAGACTTGGGCTTTTTCATGATGCCAACAATGCTACGATTAGGGCCATACACTCCTGAATCCTTCAAAGGATGCTTCGCAGGCAAATCCCACATTGGGCATTCATTGGTGCTTCAAAGGAGGTCCGAGAGTCCGCTGCGTGTCGTGTCAACATTGCTTGCTAAGGACCGTATTTCAACCACCAGGATGCCATCAGTCGTGCCAACTGAGGCAAGTGCCTGAAGTGCTAAGTACAAGTTAGTGGAGCCCTTTTGAACCACTTCCCTCTTGGTGTTGCTTTGTTTGAGTCTATTTGTTGCGTAGCTGGGCGTCTGACTGCAGTGCAACGCCGAAAAAAGACACCCTCACCGTTTGTCCCATCCATTCAGGCAGGGGACACCCCCCCGAGCTGCCTTTGCAGAGGCCATCGAAGCCAGTTTTTTGCCTTGAGTGCCCCATTTTGCCTGAAACTCGATGAATCCAGAAGGCATGATTCGTGCTTCTTGGTGCGGTGTCTTGACATAGAAAAAACCATTGAAACAAAAACACCTCCGGCGCCCAGCTTTCTTCCCCATCAAAACACCTCCCGCACCCCCAGACCTGGAGGCCACGGAGACGAGGGCGATTGAAGTGGTAGAGGCGGTGCGTCGGTGCGTCGATGCGTCGACGGGTCGGGTAGGCGAGTCGATGGGATTTGACATCCAGATGTGTATCCAAATCAAAAGCAATCGCGAGAACAAGAGCACTGATTTTGTGTAAATATCTCAGCCTCTTTGACGGCCATTGGTGCTTGTTCAATATTGTTGGTCAACTTACTCAACTGGTTGAATCCTATTGCCCGTAACAGAAGGTAGACAATTCTCGACTGTTTTAGAGAAGGGGCTTCACTGACCATCATCGTCATCCTCATCATCCTCCTCATCACCAGCATCATCATCATCATCATCATCATCATCATCATCATCATCATCATCATCATCATCATCATCCACCGCTACTGGTACTGGGATAGACCCTGAACCACATTGACCCATTCATTTCAGGCTCAGCATCAACACACTCCTCCTTCCAGGCAGAGACAGCAACACCTTCGCCGCACTCCGAGGAGCTGAGGCCAGCTGTTCGTGGCTGGTCGCAGATATGGATGATAGTCTTTCTGGCAATGACTCCTAGTAGTAGTAGTAGTAGTAGTAGTAGTAGTAGTAGTAGAAGTAGAAGTAGAAGTAGTAGAAGTAGTAGAAGTAGTAGAAGTAGTAGTCGTAGTAGTAGTAGTAGTAGTAGAAGTAGTAGTAGTAGAAGTAGTAGAAGTAGTAGTAGTAGTAGTCGTAGTAGTAGCGTCCTTGCTCCTAGTAGTAATGGCCTTCACGGCTTGTTCAAAGCTCTTTTAAACAACTTGATGGAATAGTCATTCATGGATGCGACTGGAAAGACTTCCAAGCCCTGCTCAATGCTGGACGGTTTTTGCTTTCCTTTCCGATCGGTGCTTCTCTTCTCTTCGTACACGGTGGCCTCGCCAGGGCCTCTCAAGTCGAATCCAGAGAAAGCCAAGAGAGTCACGTTTCCAGCCTCTCGGTGGGAACAACTCGACACGAGAAAGGAGGCCAACCATGGCGAACACCCACTGAACTAACTGGCTTTCATGGTCATGCTAAGTCTGGGGAGGTCTAGGTCTACCGGTACGTGCATTGATCCTCACGTGATTTCTCCATGTTTAGACACGGAGTGGCTAAGGTATTGAAAGTGCGTCCCCCGAGCGGCGGCGACACACACACTTTTTAGGCGCGGCCAGGATCGTTTTTCGTTTCTTTTCTGTGAGCAACAGCTATTTTCGTACTCCTTTTCTAGGGAGCTGCGCTTTTTTTTTAGCAGCTTTGTGTGCAGAGTTTGAATGATCAGGGCTCATTGTGTGAGCAACTGGACTGGTACGAAGAGAAGCAGAACAGAAGCACCGACTCAACCTGCTCCGCTCTCGTGCAGGTCCGTGTCAAAGTGCACAGACCAGCAGGACCCCGCGGCGGATCTGAGACGGTCCTGGATCTGAATGCACGGTCGTGGATGAGGATGGTTTGGAAGTGAGTCGAGAAACAAGTCGTGATCCCTCCAAACAAGTCGTGATCAAGACTGTTCCCTTCACATCCGACGGTTCCCAAATACTCAAAACAATGCTCAACCAAACGAATCCCAAATCCCGTGTTTGGAACACACGACAACCCCAAATCCCGTCGCAGGCCCTCGGATCTCCCCAAGACTTCGCTCCTCAAGCTGCGATCCGCCAGGAGCCGCAGCGGGAGCCGGAAGAGTTGCATCGCCTCGGCCAGGGCCTCGGCCCAGACCGGCCGTCCGAGCGACGACCGATCAATGTAGTGATCCGTGCTTGGGGGAGGTACGTGGGAGGTAGGCGTGTTGGGGGGGGTGGTCGAGTTCCGTTCCGCAGGGATGAACGAGACGTGTTCATCTACATCTCCCGAGGTTGGACCAGAACATCCGGAGTTGCGAGTGTCAACCTCCTTGTCTGGTCCAGAAGGCGCGGATGCAGCTGAGAAGCGCTCGAGTTCCGCTTCTGGGTTCGGAGTCTTTCCGTTTTCTGAACGGCTGCCACCGGCGTGAGACACACGTGAAAAGCGATCACCAAACAAGGGTTTACCCTCACTTTTGGGATGCATTGAAGGCCCAAGATCAAGGGCATTGGTGTGATTTTGGGGTATTTTTGGGTTGGGATTCAGTTTTCCCGCTTGGGTTTCCCACTCAAAAAAGGGGCCTCTCCCAACCAGACTGCCAGACGCTAGACCCGGACGGCCGCTGATTGGGCCAGGTAACTCTGACGGCCTCCGTGCTCGCATGCCATCCCGCCCTTGTCGCGTGCCTGGAAGTCAGTCCTTGCTTGTGAATTCTCCTGGAAGTAACCGGGGGTCGTGGTAGGGGCCGACAGACTTGCAGTGGCCAAGATTGAAGCATTGAACATTCTAACTAAGGTTTCGCGGACAGGTATCTTGGCAGCATCCCAGACTCAGGGAAAATAGTTGACCCAGATATATAGAAGCGTGGAGCCGCCACGCAGGAAGGAGAGAGAGAGAGAGACACAGAGAGACAGGGACAGGGACAGAGACAGACACGAGAGAGGAGAGAACTTTGAGAAACTTCAGCGGGGCCGCAGCAATGACTTCTTTCTTGGCGAATATGGTTTCCAACCTACTAGCAATGGCCTCCAACCTACTAGCGATGGCCTCCACCATAGAAGCGATGGCCTCCAACCCTACTGGTAACAATGAATTCTGAACGTTAGGGAACCGCCACCATCCGTCGATGTGACTGACTAGCATTCGCAGAGCCTTGCAGGTCTGCTTCGCCTGTGACCGATGAAGTCCTTCCGGTCAATACGGTGGACCGGCAACGAGCGGAGAGATCGGTGGAATCGAGAGCACCATGGGTATGCCACCAGGTATGCTCGTACCGTACCCCTTTGCACCAAGATTCATATCAATAATAAGCAGGAAGAATACATTTGCAATCTTGCTGCATTGAAGCAGGACTTTACTTTTGCATGTGCAGATGACGGCGTTGATGATGCTGCAGGCCACAAAGCGAGAGCGCGAGAGGTAGAGTTTGCATAGAGTTTCAGCCAAGTTTTACTTGCAGAAGCTGGAGCATCAATCAACAGGCCAATAGGATTGCCAATAGGTGCTAATAGGGGCCACTAGGCCAAGGAGAGTTCCTGTGCTCTTGACCGCACAGGCCCAACAGCCACTAGAAGCGAGGAGGCCAGATGTGGGAGGGCAGGGACTCGTTTCTTCGTCAGAGCCTCGGACCAAGTTTATCAATTTTGTTTCATGGATAGACTCGATTTGCCACGAAGCCAAGACATGCATGTATATGGAAGCCTACTTGTAGTGCATCTGCTAGTAGTGCATCGTTGGGGCAGCAAGAACCTGGAGTCTAGAAATTCTCAATGTGAAGTTGACTGTTCAGACTGTTCAGAGTACCTGAATGACAAAGAGCTATAGCCCTTGAACCTGAATCCTGCAGTATTTTGGGACATGACAAATGATCATAGCTCACCCGCTTTGGGCGACTAGCCAGGAGACCACCATAGCGGAGGATACCCAAGCCTCCGATGGCAACTTGGTTAGTGCTTAATGAGCTTGGTGGCAGAGGCACTTCAGGCTTCAACCAAGCGCAGAAAAGGCACGTTAACATTCCCCGTGCAGGCTTCAACGATCGGGCCTGGTTTGCTGGTCATTTGCGACCAACCATCCTCTGCATACTTACCTTTCGTCAACCTCTCCTGCCCTCAAGCGCAAGTTCGCCAGCATGTTTTGGCGCCATCGCTTTTTGTTGATTCTCCCCCATGCAACTTGTCCCTTTTGAAGTTGGGTTCATGCTCAAGAACCCTTGTCAGATGTTGATCTCGAAGAGAGTCCGCATCGGAAGTGGTGTTTTCCGTGTCCTTTTTCAGGGAGAAATCCGAAAACGATGATCCACTTATTGTACTGGCCGGTGCACCATCGACTTGCAGCCAAGGGTGGTGCATGTCCAACTCGTCAACTGCTGTTGGGGCTGACGTGAAGATATTCAGGTGCGCTTCGAAGACGCGTCCTGCCCAAGCTTGAAGTTTTTTTTTTTTTTTTTCTGAGGACAAAGGTAGACAGACACGAAAAGACTAGACATGACTATCCCATGAATTGTGCCAACCACCAATTCCAACACCTACTATAACCCTCAGTACTATCTAACCCTCCAAGCCACCAATTCCAAGCACCACAGGCGACCTTCCAACGCACCGCCACGAGTGAAACTGCGAGACGATCGTCTTCCGCGCGGCGAGACGATCGAGACGCCTCCAGGCGAGAGGAGCATCGTCCAGAGATGGAATCGACCGTGGATCCTTTTGAGGTGCCGAAGCCGCTGTGGAACCGGCCGTTGTGTGTCGTGCGCGTCGTGCGCGTCGTGCGCCACACGCGCGTGGAGAATGGATTGGAATGTCTTCATACAGTAGACCATCTGATAAATATCATCTCATATCATATCTACTAGTGCACAGTCAAGTCTTAAGTCAACCATGGCAGAGCAGATTCGCAGCTTCCAGACGATCCATCGCTGCCAGCATCGGCATTTCTATCTCTCTCTCTCTCTCTTTCTCTCTGTGCCGCCTGTGAGGTGAAGAGAATTGAGACTCGAAAGGAAGTCGAGGAGCCCGGGACCTTGGAGTCTCATTTCAACCTTTCACAATGCGTTTTTTTGGAACGCGTTGATGACCTGAAGCAGCCGAGCTCGGCTCGGTTCCTGAAGCAGCCGAGCTCGTTGATCAACGGTTCCTTCGTTGGGCGCTTTCCCTCCCTGGCGCCCAAGACCAGGCCGTTAGCGCCGTTGGCGCTCAGACCGGTGACCCACCTTGTTCTCTTCCGACCCCTGGATCGTCACCCCGGCCATCGATCCATCGATTCAGGGTGGGCTCGGGGGTTGGGACACCCAGCTGCCGTCGCGACGCGACGTGAGTTCGGGAAGCGATTCAGGTTGGAGCCGAGTTTCGCAGAGGAGGCACCGATGAACTCCTCGGCCGCGGCGCGTGCGGTCCGTGGCGAGGTTGGGAACTCGCGGAGCGCGGCGCGCGGATCGATCTGGATTTGTTCAGGTGCAAACTCCAAGCGAAGACTGGTGTGGTCCAAAAATGCATCCAACATTCCAACTCCCCTCTCATCGGGACTGTCAAGTGAGTGCTTCCATCAGCCGGCCTCCTTTTGCGAGCGAATCCTATGAGATTTGGGGGGCTCTGGAAGGTACGCAAGGCTCACTGCCGTGTACAGTCGATGGGGGGTGAGTCGACCCGCAAAGGACGCGACGGTGTTGGATGACGTGGACCCGAAGATGCCTCGAGATCGACGCTTTTCGTTGCTTTTCGTTTTGGAGATCGACGCTCCCTCAAAAGGGTCAAGGAATGTCGAAGCGAAGCCAATTGGGATATCTAAACATTTTTTTGTCAGATGGCAAGAGCATGCGAGAGCTATTCATGGATTTTAAGGCATGCTTTTGCTAGCTGGGGTCTGTGCTGGTGTATTTTTGTTCAGCCTTCTTAAGACTGTCCATTCTGAGCGAGGCAGATCCAAAGACGGCCTCCGAGACCTCTGCCGCGGCCTGGGGTGTCTTGGCATGGGCGAGGGGTGGGAAACGCGTCCGCGGCTTCTTCATGGCCAGACCGTGGGGTTTGCTTCATAGAAGCTGCCCTCAACAGCTGCCAAACAGAAGCTGAAGATCCCAAGTGCACCGAAGATGACCGCCGACGTCCCAAATCCTGGTCTAGAGTCGAATGTCTTTGAGACATTGTTGACCTTTTTCAATTGAAGATGCCCAGCTGGATTGGTCACTTTTGGATCCGACCTTGCGTGCGCCAGCACCTGGAAGACGCCCAGGTACTCTGGACGAAGACCATTTCTCGGAAGGCCAGTCCGAGCAGTAAGAACTGTCGAAGGGTCAAATGCCGTGCCTTGGAGGCGGAAAGACGAAGTGATTCCGTTACCACTTTCACCCTTCTCAGTTGAGCTACTTCAACCTTTCCAGTCCTGGCCAGCCTGCTAGAGCTAGTCTCAGACTCGAAAAACTCATGGGTCAGTGCGGAGAGTATTGCAAGCTCTGCATGGCGCAGAAACAATTCAGAGTCAAGCAACAGTGCCACGGATTTTGCACTACTTGGTTGCTATGTTGCTTTCTTTCGGCTTTCACATAGCAAAGACAGCATGCCAAGCACATAGGCTCAGTGAAGACTGTGAGATCTCTCTCTCTCTCTCTCTCCCTTTGTCTGTCTGTCGGATTCCAGACGTTCCCTCAAAAACAGGACTGGATGCACGAAAAAGTGTGCCAAGAGGGCGGAGGAAAGAGGCGAAAGAGGCCAGAAGGCAGAGGCCCATCTGGGGGCCGGTCGAAGACTCTCGTGTGAGAGCATGGCCGGAGAGCTGGTTGGACCGGTGGTTGACCCAGTTGGCAGAACCATGACCGATAGGCAGACTCGAGCTTTGTAGGGAATGAGGGAATGAACCACCCTTGTAGATACCTCAGGATCCAGCCACCCTTATTCCTTAGGAGTTGCACCAGTCAGTAGGTCAACCAGGTCAACGTGGCCTCTTTTTTTCCGCTTCACACGGTGACTGCCTCCACCGTCGTGACTGGTGGAAGAGCTCAATGGATCCACTTCTCCCGGAAGAGCTCGTTGGTGACTTCACTATAACTATGGACATTTGGGTGTGTGGTCAAGTCACTTGGGTGTGTAGACTTCACTATGGACTTCACTTGTGGTCAAGTTCTTGTCGATTGTTTTAACCTTTGAAAGCTTCGAAACGTCGAAGCACGCATCTTTCCACCCTTCCTTATAACTTATCCTGTACATCGCTACTAGGAACAATGGGGCATCGCTACTAGTAGCTTCTTGTTACTAGTAGTAATGCCCTTGTTACGAGTAGCAAGTATGTTGCTCTCAGAAAGTGAGTGTCACTTGGGGGGGCGCTCTCAAGTCTCTGCTGAGCTCCTCGTCAGGAATCGTGGCCGTAGTCGGCGGCTCAGAGCGGTGGGGCTTGGACTGGTTGGTACTGTAACCTGGGATTCCTGGCTGTTTAATGGGTACCGGCTGTTGCTTGTGTCGGGGTGGAGTGGATGCGCAAGTGTTAGAGCTTTGTGTTAGAGCTTTGTGCTGGAGGGTAGTGGCATCGGTTTGTTCAAGGTCAGAAAGCCGTGATGCCTCACCTCAGGTACAAGTTACCAAGATGCTCTTGATTGTCTTAGACTTCAGGCCCGTCGGGTGCTGGAATTCCAGCACATTTGCCGATGCTGACGGTGCAATCGCTGGCTGTGCCATTGTCAGCATTTGATGAAAGTAAAAAAAACAACAACACTGCAAGTCATGGTGCTGTGGTGGGCTTTCACAATGGCTTGAGCCTTCAGACACAGAGAGCTTGCTTGTTGATGTAAGCAATGGCATGTTTTTGTATGTTTATTTGGTGGTGCTATCAAGCGCTTCAACGCCTTGCAGGCTGGACTAGGCATGGAACTCACTGCCGCTTGGCGCCACCGTCCGCTCGCTTCGTTCAGTAGGTCGATTTGACCCTCGTCGTACGAAGAGGAATGAGGAACGAGTGCAGATTGAGTCCGTAGCAGATGCGAACGGTGCCTGAGGTTTGCCGATGACCCTCGCACTTACCTGGGCGAAAGGAATTCGGCAGAGCATGCTCCAGCTGAAGTTTGTGGTTGTTTTTCTAGGATGCCTATGCTGTGTTCGCTCGGGGCATTGTTCCAGAATTCCATGCCAACCGACGTTTGCCAATTCCTTTTGCATCTTTTGCTGCCCTACTTTTTCAGAAGTTAAGACACAGCTTTTGGCAACCAATGTACACTTACTGAGTCAAAGCATGGCTTGGCTCATTCTTCTGAAGGCCTCCAAGAGGCTCTTTTTCAGAAAGCAAATGTGTTCGAGTGTCCAAATCTGTGTAATGAGTCTCCTTTTCTTGGTCTAAGGATCAAACCTTATCAGTGAAGGCTTTAAGCGCAACGTTTTGAATGGTGCTGGGCCTTTTCGTGCTCTGAAAATGAGATCTTTGTCTTCTTGATGCCTCTTGCAAGTCTGCATCATTTGTGGTTCTTTGTCGGGAAAGCAACAGCTTGCAACTGACTTGCTTTGCACTGTATGTTCGATCGAGCTCAAGAATGGACGCGTAGAATGCAGCCGATTTTCTCTAAGACTAATCCTTTGTTCGTCTCCTTCCCAGCCTTGTTTTGCGTTTTCACCGGATTCTCAGTAGTTGCGAAACATAGCAATCGAGCAAGCAGCGAAGCACCTCTGATTCTAGAACTGGACCATGCCCCATGGAACAGGAGCCACGTGAGCCATGTTTGTCCTCACTGTGCACGATCATTACTACGACTTCTCCGACACCGGTCAACCCCTCGACCGAGCTGATTTGTTCCACCCTGGACAGTCTCGCAGAAAATGCTCCAGACTTGCCACTTGGCCAGTTGGACCCCAACCCGGAAAGTTCAAACCTTCTACCATCAAGCTGCACTTATACAGATTTATATGCTTGACGAGACTTGGTTTCTGAATGCAAGGGGGGGGGTCTCCGCCAAATAGAAATCGATTCGTAAGACTCCTCTCTCCGTTCGAAGAGAAGCAGACTCTCTAAGGCTCCTGTGCCGGCACATCATCGTGTGCGATGGATATCGCTCCGGAAGCGACAGCAAGTTTCGAAGCGGAGTGGTGACGCCTGAGCGAGCGTATGCGTATGAGCAGTACATGGATGCTTTGGAGCTTCTGGCTCACAAAGGCCAGGCTCCTGGCATTTCTTGAGAGATGCTGTTGACATCGTGAGCTCTAGATGTCTCTCTCTCTCTACGACTTTTCAAGATAGTTTCTGAAAAAGCATTCACATGCTTATCATTGCTTATCCTCAGTTGCACGGTCTGAGTCTCCCCAAATCTCTTTGCAGGTCAAGAGACTTCGGTGGGACACGCCGAAAATCAGACTCCCTCGGTCTGGAAGAATGTGGAAATCGTGCGACTGGCTGAGCGCCAGGGATTTGGCTTTGCCGTCAAGGCAGCCTTGGAGTTGGTCACGACGCCGTTCGTGTGTGTCATGCAGCATGACCGTACTTTCATGCGGCCCTTCCGTGATGCTTTGGTCTTGCTGAAGGCCATGATGCAGGAGAGCCGCTTGAAGATGGTGGGCTTGCCAACAACGACCAATGACCCTACCAAGTACATGACTCAAGCTGTAACGAAGCTTGGGGAGATCAAAGTCTATCTTCCCTGCAGCTTTGATGAACTTGTGATTTCAGTCCCTGACGTCGGCGCAGAACACCTCCGTTTCATTCCCATGATCATGTGGCACGACTCCACCCATTTCGCGTCCAGCGAGTACTACCGGAGCTTCGTGTTTGGCCGTCGCCGGCGGCTGGTGACGAAGGGTGGCTTTATCGAAGATAAACTGGGACAGGAGCAGGGCTTGGATCTGAGGAAGGAAGGTTGGGACGCGCACGAGCGCTACGGCACGTGCCTTGGTTAAAGGAACTAGCTGAAAGTTTGTTTTTTTTCCTTTTTTCACCAGAAGCAGCACATGTTAATCACTCCCATCGACCGTGTTGGATTGAACCAGGTTCATGGCTGGGGCAGGCTTGTTTGAAACAATTAACACTTTTGATAGGGGCTGGTTTCGGGCCCGGACGTTTGCGTTTCGGTGGCGAAGGTCCGACCCCTGCCATCAATTTCGGTCGCGCCCGCCCTTGGGCGCCCGAAGCGACGACGCGAAGCGACGACTTGGGCAGGTTCCTGCTGGATGATGGTGCTCCAGCACCTGCGAGGATGGTGGGGCACCTGGACGGGAAGAAATACATCCGCGTGGAGGCCAAGATGGCCCTGGCAGAATCCGCGCGAGCCAGCGGGGCCAAAGCCAAAGCGGAGAAGGCGGCAAGGCCTGTGGAAGAGGAAGATGAAGCTGATGAAGGAAGGGTTGTGGGAGCTCTTGGGGGTTGTGTTGCACCAATGCCAAAAGGGTCATATCTCTTGGCCCCCAAGACCCCCCGAAGTAGGCGACCCCCTCGTCAGGACAGGCAGGGCACCGAGGAAGTGCCCATCCAGACGAGCTCCTGATGGCTTGCAGGGCTTATCGAAGACACGCCCTACTCCAGTGACCGAAAGGAAAACGCAGCAGTGGGGCGCGTGGAGCATGCGTGGAGCATGCGTGGAGCATGCGGAGAAATGCAAAGCATGTTAAACAATTTAAGCATGAGCATGCCCACTTTTGCGTGCCAAAGCATAGTTTTAAGATTCTTAGACAAGATTGCATTGTATAGCCCAATTAGAAGACAAATCCATGCAGTTGTTCTGAATGTGTTTCATTTGATTCTTTCGACCAGAGGAATGATATAGAAAAATTGGCTCCAGTGCAGCAAGCCAAGCGAAGTCTCAATCCAGCTCAGCGCAGATTCCAATTTTCAACCAAGAAATGTTTCCCACTAAGTCCCCACTTCATCGCATGCGGCATGCGGCATGATCTATCTACTTTTTGCCCAACCTATTTTGTTCACCTTCATCCCCTGGTGAGCCTTGCCACATGGCGGACGCCGCGCCCGCGCCCGCGCCGGCCACCACCTTTGTGGCTGGGACCAAAGAGCACGTCTGGAAGCTCAGCGACTGGGGGCGTCGAGACTCGAGACCGTCGCAGCGTCGAGACCGAGACTCACGGTCGTCTTCGTGGCCTCGCCAGGATGGAGCCGCGGCGGTTAGCACAAGTGGGACTGCCTCTGCAGAGGATGAGACTTCCAAGCGGTCGTGGTGAGAAACATGGCCCTAGAATGAGAAGCCAGGCATATAGACACTTTTATACTGTAAACCAAATCGGTTCTGGTGTTTGAACCAGCCCAATGGGAAGTAGTGAGCCGATTTCTACCTCGTGAAGCCAATTATCAGGATGCTTGCCTTTATTGCAAGAAGGGAACTCGGGAGCAGGAGGCCCCAGTCAGAGATGAAACAGGTGTATTTTCTTCAGAATCCAACACTTGCCAAGGGTGTCGTGTTTTGTTTCACCTTCTTCCAGTTTGTCTCTTTGGCAAAACAAGCCTAGGCCGATTTGGACAGAGAAAACGAGGCAGAAGAACACCGGCCTTCGATTTGACACCATTTCCCCAAGGTACGAGGCAGATGCTTGTGGCCACGAAGCAGCTTGTGGGGTCTCCTCAGATCGCCCGACCGCCCGACCGTCGGACCGATGCGGCGGCTGTTGCGAGGTAAAGCGCGAGGGTAAGAGCGAGGTAAGAGGGGGGGGAACCAATCATAGAAGCCAGCCGCCCGCTTTGGACTGTACTTGGAGGCCTCAAGGTAAGAGGTGGACTGCTCTTGATGAGGCAAGAAGTGTGCCATGAAGACCGCCACAGGTGGCAAATGCAAAGTGCAGCCCTTACTCGGTAGCTTTTTTCTTCAAATCTGGTTACTTTCCGACCAGTTTCTGCGACGATTCTTTTAGTGTGGATCCACCAGCTTCACCAACATTTGTCCAGTTTTCACTCTTCAACCTGCCTGGAAAGGGGGAAGAAGCCGCTGTTGATCGGAAAAAAACGCCACGGCTCCATCGGACCTGGCTCTTCTCTGAGGTGTGCGGACAGCTGTTCGCTGGATGGAGACGCATTTGAGCCCGGTTGGGATACATGTCGTTTGGGTTGGCAGCATTCGCAAGGAAATAGAAAGGGTCTTTCCAAAGAAAAGAGACATGTGAAGCATGATGAGATTATCCAAGTATATATTCCATATAGTTTAACAATATATATATATATACACATACATACACCAGCAACTTCCAACACGTCTCCTCTGGAGGCTTCGACTTAAAAGTCGCAGGTGATGACCTGTTGGAGGGTGCTGGTATACATCACATGAGACTTATTGAAGCATAAATGTACAGCATCATACACAACATATTCATAAACAGGTACACATCATATGCTGTTGGAGATAAACCTTTTGAACATCATTACCCCTTATTTGCCGGCCCGAAACCCGGTCGCCTGGCCCGCCCAACCCGGTCGACTCCGGTAGTTGTTTCGGACGTCGTTGAATCACACCCTGTGGACCTGGATCGTCACCTTCTGAGTCGTCCGAAGGGGTTGGGGTGCAACAATTTTGGGATGATTCGATCGGCGTCTTTTTCCTCAGCTGCGGCAACGAGAGAAAGTGGCAATAGCTGGAAGGGGTTTATCCACACTCGTTCGGCATGGCATAGGCCTCCTTTTTGGCGAGAGGGATCTCGGAGTGGCGTAGATCGCCTCCAAAAGATAATAGAAAAAACAGAAAAAAATACGTGTTTATATAGTGGTGAGTGAGATGTTGGTAAGGGAAAACAGGACAGAACAGAATGAAGGCAGCCAACCCTGGTGTTTCCAAGGGGAGCTGCAGCACAGAAATCAGAATGCCAAAGTCGCAGGATTAGAGCTGAAAAAGGGAGCCAGACTACTTGCGACGAAACCAGGTACCCTCTGACGAACACATCACATGGAAGTGGATGGCATGGTCCCTTGGAAGACAACTTTCCTCTACCAACAGGGGTTGAACTTCACTTCCATGTGAGTTCCTCAGAGTGTACTTGTGATGGGTGGCCACGGCCAAAACTTCATTCAAAGGACATGGTCGACACCTTGCGTTCCTGTCCGGTCAAGCTTTGCTCATGACCTAGCCGAAACATGCTTCAACCAGTGCAGCTTCAACCTTCGAACACCCTGAAGATTCCCAACAAAGTCTGTCCAAAAGCTACTTTCTCTGTACACCTTAGAGATCCCAAAAGAGAAGCAACCCTCAAAGTGGCACAAGTCCAGACCGCACAAGTCCAGACCATGGAGCGAGCGTGACGGCGCAACGCCTTGCGCGCAACTTCCCGTCCCGCCACGGCCCCAGGCGCTCCGAAGCGGATGGATCCAAACACTAAGTAAAAAGCCCCTGCAAAGACCCTTGATGGGATTTCTTTGAAGAGTTCTTCTCCAGACGCGTCACGGATCCGGAGCACACGCGTCGGACACAATCCGCTGCGTTTGATGTATGGTCGCCTCACATCTTCGTTCCATGCTTTTGTTGCACGCGTACCGTGTCAGAAGTACAACCATGCATGTCTTTTGCACCCTCCGGCAGGTTGCGGTCTTTGGCACTGCGCTGTCTTCAGGCACTGCGCTAAAATCCATGACCTGAGTAGAGAGAGATACCCAAAAAAGAACCACCCGAGACTTGCATTCCCTTGCGGGTCTAAAGGACGTGTCCACCAAGAGACTCCGCAGACTTCGCGGACCGACTTCGCTGATGAAGGTGAAGGCTTAGGCTTAAACAGCCGCATGAACGATGTGTCGAACGTTTTGGGCACCGGAGGTGGTCCACTTCAAGACTTCCATGGAGACTGTGAAGGCCGGAGACGGTGAACTCTGGGATGGATGGATGGTCTTTTGGATGGCTTCTGTCCTCTCCGTTTTGTATCGCTCTTTCCTTTGGCGACTCGTTTGACTCGTTTTGGGCCACACAGCCACGGTGGAAGCCACGGTGGCGCCGTCGGAGGCCCTTCCGGGGACAGACAGTGCAGGGGCCATCTACGCCAGCCACCTCGACCTGCGACTTGGCCAAGTCGAACAACATTGGCAGCCGATGTCATCGAGTCAAGGCTATCTTTTCAGGGAAGAATGGTTTGACACATGATGACACATGTCTTTTCAAGGCCATTGATCCCCAAGCACATTTCCAGAAAAAGCTGCTGGCAGAGCGATTGAATGCCAATTCTTAAACCGTTTGGATCTCCGAACATGCTGCTGGCACCAGGTGGAGTGACGACAAGAAGAGGGCAAGCGACAAAGTTGCATGTAACGTTATTTTTTTCCCCTCATCTTTAGAGTATCTTTTTTGTTGTTTGTATGTGTAGCATCTAGGCTGCCGATTCCGAAATGCCATGCCAGGGCCCCAAATCATGTAAAGAAGCCCCGAACCACGTGCTGCGATCGTCAGCCGGCAGGCTAGGCAAAGTTGTTGGATTTGCGAATCAAGTGATTAGAGGCCATGAGGAGCGGTATGGACTAATCCAGTTATTTTCATTCTCATCTCATCTATCCATATCCACTGGACCAGTTGCCACCGCTGTTCACTAAAGACTGATGGTGAAAATCGTTTAAATAGTCGTTTAAATATAATATAAATGAACAAGTTGAGAGTTGAAAGCAAAACAGGGGGGCTAACTACCAGAAGAGGATGGGGTTTGGAACCATAGGAAAGCCGGAGGAACTAGATGAAGCATGATACCAGTAAATTTAGCACAGAAAACCTGCCATGCAGAAACCACGACTGGTTTTGCTGATAGGCATCACATCGCTATCGGTTGTGTCACCACGGTTTGGTTGCTAGTCCATGAGCACGGATCCACTGTGTTGGGGTGTCCTTGGTGATGGATGGCGCATGTTGGATTTGATGAACATCAGACCTGGCAGATTTGATGAACATCAACCGAAACTTCGGTGTTTTTGATGCCCATGCATACACTTGAACGAGGGGAAAATTCGGTGTTCACAACAATGCTTTTACTTCCCCTTTCCTTTTCTATTTTCGAAGTCTTGCAGCTTTTCGCTGCAGGGGCGACTAGAGAGATCGACTCAGAAGGTGGTTCGCCAGATGCCACGGTCGTTGGTTGGTAGCTCGGTCGGATGAGCCGACGAGGCTGGTACCAGAAAGCTGCAGATCACTGGGCAGCGCAGGTGCGTGTAAGTAACGACGAGCCCGAGCCGTCTTCTTTTTGCGAGAAATGCATCTCCTTTTTTTTAAAACCAACTTCTTCCTTTGGCTTACCAAACCGATCAACCAAATGAATGAAGGGATGACACACACACACACAAAGACACAGCCAAAAAGGAAGCCAACCAGCGGGGCCTTTTCGACGCCCGAAGAAGCCGGACCCACGCTGAACGGCACCACCTGACCTCTCCGAGACTCTCCGAGACTCGGCGGTTGGTCCGCTCGAGAGGCGGCCACGTTGGACGGGGTCTTGGGTGGCTTCCCCGAGACCAGCGAGCCGGACCTGCGCGAGTCCAGGAGACGGTCTCGACACCGAAGACCGCGGGGCGCGAGGACCGCGGCTTTTGGGGGATGAAGACGGAGGGAAAACGGCGATTTGAAGGCCTTGGAGTCGGACAAATTCAGGCCTTGGACGGGGAAAGAGAAGGGGAATCCTTCGGTTTGGAAGGGGGAGAGAGAGAAAACGACCGAAGATAAACCTTTGGTGAGCCTTTGTGAGCCTTCGTGCATCAATTTCTTGGCGAAGACGAAGCGTGGGACACGTTTTGTTTGCCACCGCTGTGGGAGTTGATGGAGTTGACCCTTTGATGCTCGCAACTTCGATGGTGAGCCTTTGTGTCCTCAGGAGATTTCTGGATTTGGTCAGTAGTCGAGCGTTGGGGATGCTAAGCCACAAATCTGCTGTGACAGCATTTGTCCAATTGATTCAGATCCGCAAGCTACTTCATCTCAGTGCGGAATTGTTGCAAGCTACTTCATTTTATTTCGTCAGTGCATTGAAGTGAGATCCGTTTTTGTTTCTCTTCAGAAGCCCTCGAACCGACTTTTTGCGAGGCCAAAGGATTTCGAATCTCCATATGTTTTTGCTGAAAACGCCCACCGACGGCGCTTTCTGTCGGCTCAACGGCCCCGAGGCCAAACCCTCCGAAACGCGAGATCGTCTTGGATTGCGGCGCTGGAATTGGACGGGCCGGGCGGCCTTGGACAGAAGGTCCCGTTGAAAGGAGGCCCCCCAGAAGGTCCTCTTACTTAATGGACCTTCGGAAGACTATGTTCCTCTACAACCCGGTGGTTTTCGGGTTCCATGTTAATCTTCCAGGGCGTACATCATTCTTACATCTTCTTGTCTGTATTTATGATTATCTATGTCCCAAATTGGTTCGTTTTCTTTGAAGCAGCGTAGCCTTCCGGTAGGAGCCTATACCTCTTCTTCTATCCTCCGCTTGTCGTTCGATGCGGAGGATCCTATACCTCGGAATCGCTCAGGTCACCAAAGGTCTCCTTCTGGACCTGCCTGGGCCTTAAACCTTCTTGGAGCGGAGCTGGGTTCGCCCAACTTCTCCGGAATACGGGTCCAGGTCTGTGGTCCGAAAATGCTTTGGAAGCAGGCTAAGCTTGAAGCCGCACCAGACTAGTTGACACCTCCAAATCACCTGGACCATGCTTCACCCATCCAGAAGAGCCGAATATCCACATCACTCAACATCACTGTAGACGAACATCTCCAGACTCTCGACCCTTCGTTCGCCCGAAATCCTGCGCCCTTCGTTTGGGTTTGGAGTGCCACACACGACAGACACACCACAGATCACAGATCGTTTTTCTACCACGGCTTAGCTTGGTGAGCAGGGTGATGGCATTCCCGAAGCCGCATCACCGGCATTTTGTTATTCGATTTCTTTCACTAGTAGCTATCTCCCCGCCGCCGTGCTGCGCACCACCACGAGAAGCAGCAGCTACCAGGTTCGAGCGCGTCGATCTGGTCGAGCCCAACGATCGGCTCTTGGAGGAGGCGAAGAAACAGGCTCCGGCTCCAAGCCCGGAGGGAAACTGGCTCCGGCACCTGGGCGAAGCCCCCGACAGCCCACAGCCGGCAGCCTGGGGGCTTTTGGTGAAGGACGCTTGTGGAGATTCATGTGTGTTCTGTTGGTCATGCCCTGTGAGAGGCCCCAAGTAGACAGTTTCATATTGTTTCAAGATATCCAAAACATTGTTGAACGGGCTCACTTTTTGATTTGTTTGGGGGCGGATATGCGATATGCTATGCCAACTTCTTTTGACATTTGAGGACATCTGAACCATTTAATTTAAGATCAATTTAAGATATTTAAGAAGATAGTATTGAGACCTTGTAAACTGCAGATTTGGAAAATGTGTTTGTACGTGATCTTTGCAACTCGAAGTTACCCCAACAGCGGCTTTCCGGGTAATGGTCCTCAGAACTCATTGACTGCCATGGTTGCCCACCCTCCCTCTCTCTCTCTCTCAAGCGGCAATCATAGACTTGAGAGACTTGAAGCATTCGGTCCATTCTTCGCGCCAACGCACCCACCACATGAGGTCGAATCCTTTCTATTTCTAATTTGATTCAGGTTGGTGCCCGCGCGGAGCGTTTAATTGCCTCCTCTCTGGAGAAGTTTGAGCCAGAGGAAGGAAGGCCAGCGGGGGCGAGTGGGCCTCACTACGTGACTATCAAGTGTCTCCAGTCTCCAGGTCTGAATCAATTATGGCTTACTTTGTTTAAAAAGAAACTTGATTTGATTCTTTCACGCCCCTCTGTAGCCTCAACATGTTTATTTTTTTTCAATCCATGTCTGGAGGCTTCTTCGTTCTAAGAGTCTAGCATGACATGTTGGACCCTCCGTGCCCCGTTGGGGTTCCGTTTCAACGGAGCCCGTCCGACCGATCTGCCAGGTACGACGTCATCTGGGCCCAGTGGGTCTTACTGTACTTGACGGACGAAGACTTGGTGGCCTTCCTGCAGCGATGCAAGAAGGGTCTGCGTCCGTGCCATGCTCAGCTTAGATCACATGCGTCCGGCACGGTTGACCTAAGCGTACACGAAGTGTTCGTTGACCTTGCACAGGCATGCTCAGATGCATTCTGCAGATACACGGCTGGTTGGTTCTTCGCGCTACCTTGTTGTTCGCTTGTTTGCTGTTTCTCACACACACAGATGTATCGCAATCTGGGTGGCCCATCCTTTTGACTTAGATGATTGGAAACAACATGAAACAACTGTATGAAGAATGCTCTGCAGGAATGGCATGATTTTTGTGAAAGAGAATGTCGTGATCGAAGGGACGCTCTGGCTGCTTTGAGCGAATCGGTGAATTGGTCAAGATTCACCACGTCTAGACTTGAAAGACAGTTACCAAATCTTTTAGCTAGATAGTTACTTAAAATCAGTTACGTGAATCTTACTTACCATGATAGTCTTACTTAGTTTCAAGTAACATTTTGGTAATCTGGTTGTTCCGAAAGCCTCAAAACATCTTCATCTCATGAGCATCAGATTTTCTTGCCTGCAAATCTCATAGGCTCAGAGGTAGACCACCAGCGTCGTTGGCACACTAGGTTCTTTTGGGGGTCATGTACCAATCAGTTTCACTGTCTGCTTCATCAGTCGATTGCTCAATGGAAACCTGCACAGGCAATGGATGGTGGACCGTGATGACAACAGTATCTCTCGGACCGATGCCATGTACAAGGACCAATGTCGAAGCCCCATGTCGAAGACGTTTTTGGGTCGCACGATATGCCGAGGCAGTCGACCAACTGGTACTCTGTAAAGCCAGTACACCCATGTAGACCCAGCGCACCACGAGATCCACCTAGTTATATAATGTTTGAGTATCTAATCTAACTGTTGATGCAAACAGAGAGAGAGAGAGAGAGGGAGAGATGCAGTGAGGGGCGTTGTTCAGGATTGCTCCGTTTGGACTTCCAAGGATCCCGGGACCTTCTTTTTTCCACCGATTTCTTCGTCAGGTCGGCCTGTTGTGAACCTCTTTTTTGGGTGCCCAGACGTCTGCACCGTTGGACGAGTCGGAGAAAGAGGACTAGTCGGTGACATCCAGTCGCCCAGTCCACCCTCCATTCTTCCTTTCTTTCAACAAGAACACATAAATAGAACCCTCTTTCTTTCTTTCTTTCCTTCTCTTTCTTTTCCCAAAAAGAACCCCCCAAATCATTCAGTCCATCCATGTCCATCCCTCCGAAGCCACCCCGACTCTCGACTCTTCCCCATCCCCCCATCCTTTAACACCACTGAGTGCTGCCGATGGCAGCATGCCTTTCCCTCGGACCGGGTTCCGGTGGAGTCGCAGGACATCTTCCGCAAGGCCGGCCTCGTGCTGCAGGACCAACTCCGACAGGCGTCGAGTCGAGCCGAGACATGGCCGGGCCATCCGCGAGATCGGTCGGTTTTGGTTCCGGTCCCAAAAACGCTCCAGAGGGTCGATCCATGCCGGGATGTGTTCAGAGAGGGCCATGAATTGATTTTTTGCCGTCTGGCTCTCGAGGCAGCCTGGCCCAATGATTTGGTTCCCGTGAAGATGTATGCTCTAAGAGGAGCAGCGTAGCAGGCGTTTTACAGGACATTCTTTGCAAATTGCCCCATGGCTGAAAGGTTTTGAGCACCACAACAGATCTGCACACTAGATTCTAAAGAGAGACAGTGAGACGCTCTGCTCTGCTCGGTGGCAAAATCATATTACAGTATCATCACTGTGATAGGACGATGCTTTTGATTAGACCAAGCTTTGCAAGATTGGAACCTCAGCCATGGGACAAGATGCAAGTCCTGAAAGCACTTGTATCTCGGCACGAAAGCCAGAACCAGAAAAGTGAAGTTCGGCTGCTTCTTGGTCGCGACCTTGAGACCGCTTGCAACCAGACCGGCTGTACTCACTGGTGATTGATAGGCGACTTCCAAAGTGACTTGCTGACTTGTGGCGCCCGAATCTGAAAGTGGCGAGACCTTCGCCATCGGACCGTTTATAGTTCGGACATCTCAAGAGTGGACATTCTTCCATTGGTTCCTGAGCGCCGTCCACGTCCTCGCGCGTCAGACCGAAGGACTGGACCCCGTCGACTGGACCCGCATCGGTGCAAGCCACACCGACCCGTCCTCGTGAAAGACACGACAGACCACCGAAGCTGTGCAGGTTTGCCATCACGTGGGCCACCACTGTCCTGTCCACGCGGACGTCCTCGCATGATGCGTCCTGTCCGCTTTGGACTCAGCCTTTGCTCGACCTTCGGACTCCGCTTGGCCCTTTGTGTGAGCCGACGTCACAATACATCTCGATTCCCAGGCGTTCTTTCTTAGGCTGTCGGATTGCTGGTCTGCGCGTTACATCCATTTGATTGGCCTTTTCTCTTTTGGCTCTTTGTGTTGTAGCCTCTCTTCCCTGAGTTTTGTATTGTCATTGTGTTCAGTGTCGTGCAAGAAATTTGAAGAAACATAGACATTTCACGCTGCGCCAGTCATTTGAGGGTCTGAAATGGGCATAGTGTTGGGGTCGTTTTTTGGGAGTTGCCCTCTTCCGGCGGCTTTGATCAACAGTTCCTTCTTCCTACATGTGGTCATGAAACTTCCTCCCTGCCCTGTTGTCTGGCATGTGCAGCATGCTGCGCGGCGGTGCTCTGCGGACCGGCCAAAGACAAATGCAGCTCCGGCATCGTGCTGACCATGAATCTCCATGAATCCAAACCACCGACATCAGACTTCACCAGTTCTACACATGAGCAACTGCCAAAACCTCCGATAAAGGAAGCATCACTACAGTGAAGACTAAGTAAGTAAAGTGCAGAAAAAAAACGATAACGTTGGGAAGAGTGCGCACTGCAACGCATAAGAGGCACATGGATTGTCGCTCACATGGCTTTTGGTATAGCCACCCAGAGCCCACAGCCACCCAGGCACCTTGGTGTTATGGCCCACAGCATCACCACATGTTCCACCAACATCATCACCTGCCCACCATGTCACCAGCCAATCACCAGCCCCAGCATGTCGTCTCCATGCACCGGTTGCGGGGAGCGGGCCACCGGTTTCCGACAAAACTGTCTGCCACTCCCGAGCACTCCCAAAGCACGTGAACTAAGAGCGGAAACCCAGCTTGGACGAAGCATAAATTCTGAACTAATCATTCTAGCTGAGCTGATTCGGGGCTATGCGGCCGAAACCCGATTCCTTTCTGGATGCGGGTTGTCCTTCAGGAGTGCTGGTCCGTGAATGGATGCGCCGAAATTCACTCACACGACCCGCGCTACCTTTGGCAGTGGTGGTACGTGCACTGCGGGTCAATTGCGAACCCTCTGTGAAAACGCCAACGACGGAGGACTCATCGGTGACGCACTTGGTGGGTATGCAACATTATGCAACTGCATTGTCCGGACCTGGGTTGGACAACAGTCGGGGGTGTTCGTGTCAGAACTGAAGGTTTCAACTCAAGGCTGTTGCAGGCTTTCTAGCTGCCGCACTCTTCTACTCCTTGCGATTTCGGGTTTCGCACGTGTGGAGCTTGCCTTTCGGATCAGCTCGCCCAGCGGATCGCCCAACACTGGACCGCCACGCGCCGCGCCGGCTCGATTTCCGACCCACATCCACGCTGTGGCCACAGTCCACGCTGTGGGACGTTGATCACCCGCGCAACATATACCACCGGGACCACCGGGACCACCCCATCACCGACGCGCGCACGATTAGAGTTTGGGGGATCTCGCGACAGTGAACATGTGGAGACCCAGGTCTTCGAAGCTGGCCGCGATGACTTTTGTACTGATGTGTTACTGTGCGTTGCTTTTGGCAACGCCCGAAATCGGGGAAGGGGGTGTTTTCCAAGTTCAACCGCCCACACAGAGTAAACCCATCCAGCGCCAGCTGCAATTTCCCTGCGGCCATTAATATGGTTCAGCAAACACTGCACTGTAGTAGCACAAGGGTAAACATATTTTGTCATGGCGCCGTTTGGCGCAGAAACAAGTACTCAAACCCGGAGTTGGGCTGGCTGGAGGCAACTGGGATTTCAAACAAACAGGGTCGGTTGGAGATTTTCGTGAAGCAAAGCTCTTTATAAAGGTAATGACAGTTGAGCAGTGTTCGGTGGTGTGGTCACGCTCTTGAGATGTGCCAGAGCACGACCAGTTGAGCGTTCACGTCACGGCATGGATGACTTCGTGATCTTCGTGCTTGGCGTGTGGCTCCTGGGTTGTGCCTGTGGCATCTGGGCTGCACGTTGGTGGGCTCGTCGGGCGAAGGTGGAGGAGTTGGCCATTACCACTGACGTGGCGACTTTGCGAGCATTTCAGGCATTGCATGGCCTGCACTCTCCTCCCCACAGGCGACGGAGCTTAGAACGAGCACCGACTTGGAGGCTGCCAAGCGATGGGCTGGTGCTGCAGAACCTTCGTGGTCTGCCTGGCAGCGGGCTGTGGGTACAGTGCCCAATCTCCGCATCCTGGCCAACATGGCCCCCTCTGCCTTCAAGTCGGCCCTCAACCACGTGCGAATTGCTGTGACTGGCGGCGGCGACCCTCGCGAGCTCAATGTGGTCGAAGCAATTCAGTTGGCCTTGACCTGGAGGGTTGCCAGGCACGTGTATGGGATGGAGGACCTGGACCCTCTGTCAGACTTGGGTGGGACTGCATCACCGACAGCGGCCACGACACCGGCTCAAGCTCAATGCAGAGTTCCCAGAAACTTGGCATTTGTGGATGCAAACGGAAGATCGTTGCAGGTCGGAAATGTTCGAGGGCCACAGGCGGCAACTGGTCAAAGCTGCTGTCGATGGCAAGCTACCTGTGGCCCTGCTTGACTGAGCCAGCTTTTGCTCAGTTCTGATTTTTGATCCGATTTGCGGAGTTCTGGTGCTCGAAGTACACCGCACCTGTTAGGGAGGACAGCTTTGTGGCGCTGGCTGCGTGCACGGCTTGGTCATCAGAGCGAACATCACCCGAGAACAGCCTTTGCCAACCTCGCACGGCATGAAAGTTCTTCGTGACGAGGCTGCTAGGTTGGAGGCCATCGCTAGAAGGTTGGAGGCCATTGCTCTTAGGTAGGCGGCCATCGCGTTTAGGTAGGAGCCACTCGCCGCCAAGGCTCTTCCCTTCGCCCCTGGTGCCGTTCCAAAGCCATCCGCGGCGGCCGGCCGGGGTGGCGGCCATCCGGCCATCCGTTGGACGTCACCCGCCGCGGTGAGTGACGGGCACCGTCGTCACCGGTGGGACATGGTGTGTGGCCACAGCGCATGGACGAATGAAATCCCGTGGGTTCCTCTGGGATCTTTTCCGCAAGAAGGGGAGGAGAAGAAGAAGCGCATCCGTTTTTGAGAATGGCAGAGCAATGTCAAGAGTTCAAGGATTGTGCTCCAAAAAGCCGGTGGTTCACACCATGCACATGCAGGTGCTTTCAGGTAGCTGATGCAAGCTCTAGGACCCCTCGTGCTCGAGCAAGCCCAAAGCCTGTACTCCAGCTTTGCCATAGCGAAAGTGGAAGCTTTGTCCACATTAGAGCTTGGGCTCCTATCATTTCAAGGAAGTGTCCTTGGCAGTTCCTGAATTCGCTTCAGTTATTATATAGTTACACTGGTCACAAGAACCGGGCAGAGTCAAGGATTCTGGTGGTGAATTGAAACAAAGGCAACCTCCAGACCAGGCAGATCTTGCATGTCATGTTTTGATTTGAGAAGTCGGTGTAGCCATCTGATATGCTTGACGCAGAGAGCCCAAAACGACGTATTCGCACTTCCTCGCGACATGCCTAGACATCAATTCTGCAGCCCACGCAGAAGAAGCCGTCAGAAAAGGGAGTCCTCTCAGAGCAAGTTTCACCCTTGCAAGTCAAGAGACGCTGACACGATCAAGATTTTGCCAAGACCCGGACCTAGGCACGCCTAGCCACTAGGTCATGCTCATGGGCCTAGTCACTGGGTCCTGAACCTTTTGAGTAACGGGAGGCTGTTGCCACAGGCACCGCCACATGGCTCCGCACCGCTGCGCTGGCTCTTGGCCTCGAAGAAGCCCCACGCGCGCTCCGTGCGAAGTGCCTCGTTCCGTCGCCCGTTCGCCATGGCCGCTGTCGCACGGACGCTGACGCTCGTGGTCGTGGTCGTCGCTTCAGCGGTGGCTGAGACATGTGTTGAAGGTGAGGAAGTCGAGGACACGGTTCTCTTGGCTCATGCGGCTCACGCAGCTCATGCCACCACATATTGTCGAGAGGTCCAAGCACTTCTGGATTCAGAATATGGCGAAAAGATCGGCAAGACTGGTGAGCTTTTTGGTCTTGGCCAATCTTGGGAGAAGGAGTGGCTAGCTGAAGATTGAGCTGCTTTAGCAAAACATGTGGATGTGACGTGCACAACCAACACACGACATTGGCATTTCCCCAAACAGTTTACTGTTGGAAAACGAGAGCTGGCCACACTGGCTGGCCGCGCCCTTGAACTCTGTGTCCGGGCTCAGTGTCTAGGTTTTGTCCTCCTCTTGCCCGCTGTGTCCTCCTCTGGTCGCGCTGGCCAACCCTGTGTCCTCCTCTTGTCTCCTCTTGTCCTTCTCTTGTCCCCCTCTAGTCCTCCTCTTGTCCTCCTGTTGTCCTTCTCTTGTCCCTCTTTTGTCCTCCTCTTGTCCTCCTCTTGTCCTCCTTTTGTCCTTCTCTTGTCCTCCTCTTGTTGTCCTCTTGTCCTCCTGTTGCCCTACTCTTGTCCTCCTGTTGTCCCCTATTGCCTTGTGTGGGGCTTAGGGGGCAAGCGCCAGTTTTATTATCTCGTTGTTTGTTCGTGTTGTTTTCCTTCCCTCATCCTGTTGTCCTTTGTTGTCCTTTGTTGTCCTCCTCGTGTCCTCCTCGTGTCCTCCTCTGGTCTTTCTGTTGCCCTGCTGCTGTCCCACTGTTTACGTTGCTTTCCGAAGCAGGGCTGTGGCCGTCCACGACAACAACAATTCTTGCCGACTGAGCTGTTTGGGGTCTATGCTGGTATATTTTTTGCATTGTCTTATAATGTTTTGTTTGTTGTTGTGACCCTGACAGATGGAAGCAATCTACACATGGAAAGACTTCCTGGAGGCAGTTTGTACTTACAACAAATGGGCAGAGGGTGCAAATGAGCCAGCTTTTCTGGGAGATAGTGACGTCAAGATTAAAGCCATGACTGTGGTTGGTATGATGGCCAACGTGAAGGTGGAAACGCTGCATTGGACCGCTTGCAAGGAATCTCAACAAAAAAACAACCTTTTGTTGCTTGTCTTTCTGCACTTGGTCCCTTTTTGGCAGACCTTGCCCAGCAGGATGTTGACAGCCCCACTGAGGAACGGCTTTCGTTGCCTGATGGGAGCTGCCCATGCCACACAGATCCGGAATTCGTTGGCGGCTGCTCTTCTGGGACAACAGATCACTATAATTCAGTGAGCCTTGCAGTTGAGAGTGTTGTTCGTGTACTGTGAAATCTGTTTCCTGTAGATGTCGACTGTCGCGCGTCTTCATTGCTTTCTTGTTGTGACCCCACCCGCATCCGGCCAAGAAATGCTGCGAAAGATGCGGGCTTTACGGTCACCACCTGCAATGGAGTGAGCGCTCCAGCCGATGGCTGCACCGATTTCTGGGGCAACGCCTTGGATCCCAAGGACTGCAACCTTAAACCAAATAGCAATGAAGCTACTAGGGGCTCCTGGCATCGCTACTAGGAACAAGGGCGCTACTAGGGGCTCCTGGCATAGCTACTAGGAACAAGAACGCTACTAGGGGCTCCTGGCATCGGTACTGGGAACAAGGAAGCTTCTAGGGGCTC